GGAGGGGGAGGAAGGGGAGGAGGAGGAGGAGGAGGAGGAGGAGGAGGAGGAGGAGGAGGAGGAGGAGGAGAATGGAGGAAGCCCCAGGACCAGGCCCCCCCCTCTGGCACCGCCTGGCAGCCGTCCTCCGCCGTGGTGCCGCAGCCCTGGCCGACGCTCGCCGCGGTGCCCGCGGGGGCGCCCGCGGCCTTCGGCCCCTGGCCGGCTGCGGGTGGCGTCGCGTGCGCGCCGCTGGAGGTGCAACGGCTGCAGGAGCTCGGGGAGAAAGAACAGCGGCATCTGCCCACCGCATCCTCCTGCGTGAGACGCGCGGGATGCACAGCCGCGACGCCGGGGCAGGTGCGGAGTTTCGGAACCACGCCCGCAGGACAGAGCCCCTGCGGGCTGGCCAAAAATTCCCAAAAAGGTGCCTGTTCTGGCTTTCTGTTTGTGCATGGTTCCTGGTTTTTGCCAAGGGGGGAAAAGCCACCCGGACCCGACAAGTGGCGTTCACGAAGCGGCGTTGGGCGTATACTACACAGCCCTTCCCTGATTGATCCCTTCTTTGCGTGCGTGTACTAAACGGCCTCGCGTGTCGGGGTGGTTGTTTGTCTGGGTTGACTTCCTGCCCTCTCTGTTGTGTTTGCTCCTCCCCAAGGAGCGGCTGCAGCAGTCGGAGCTGAGGGCAGCGGAGGCGAGGGTCGGCGAGCTCTGCGCCAAGATGGAGCTGCACCAGCTCAGGCGGCGGGCCCCCCGCCCAGACCTCCGGGGCCTTGCGAAAATATCAGGGCGGGGGGGTCCTCGGTGTTCGGCAAGCAGTGGCGAAGCGTCCTGGTTGGCCTATGGGCCCACCAGACACGGTTCTAAGAACCTCTTCCGGGTTGCACAACATGTTCTCAGAACATGTTTGGCTGGGGCTGTTTGGTTTTGACTCATCGGCTTTCTGTTCTAAGAACATGGTTTTCGTCGTTCGAACATTTTTGGGTTAAGACAATTTCGTGGTAGGCCTATAGGAATGCTGGGACGGTCGGTCCCTGCCCAAGTTCGGCACCCGGAGGCCGTTTCCGGGCTCCGGGCCATCAAAGTTAGCCTTGGAAGAGGAAGAAGAAGCAGTTGCCAGGAGGGGGTTGGAATTTCCAGGGGCCGCGCATGGAGAACAGGACACTGCAGGTCTCAGCAGAGGAGGAAGCCACACCGGTGCCGAGGCCCTTCCTTCGCCTTCGCCTCGTGGAGCCCTCTGGAGTCCTCGAGGGCCCTCCGTTGCCACCAGTGTGCCCTGGAAACGACAGGGCCGTTTTTTACCGGTTCCGTTTTGCCGTTTTGTCTCCGGCTTTCCTGAGGTCTTCCATGGGAAATCGAAGTTCAACTCGTGGGAGAAAGGGGCCTCGTTCCTTCTTTAGAGCTCCTTAGGTCAACGCCCCGACGGTACCTCAAGCCTGGGTCAGCGAATGGACCGGAGAGAGGGCTGGACCCACGGCGCGGGGCGGTTGGAGGGCATGGGCGGACCCCCAGGGCCTGGCTCCTCAGTGTGGGCCCCGGAAACGGCAGGGCCGTTTTTTCACCGTTTCCCAACAAATGTCCCTTGAAAATGGAAACGGCAAAAAAACGGCGACCGGAAACGGCAACAAAAACGGCTCCAGGATTGGAACGGGAGCCGGAACTGGTCAAAAAACGCACCGAGCCCCTCCCCAACGAAAAGGGTTCCTTCTTCAGGGCCCCGACTGTATTCTCTGTGGCCGGCCGAGGTGCGCGGCACCGGGTGGAGCTGACCTGGGTCCGCCCGTGCCCGATGCGGGCGCCAGGGCAGGCCTCGAGGTTAGAGTCTGTCCTGCTGCCGTCGGTCGGATGTTGGTTCTCTGGCGTTTTGGGAGAGGGCCTCCAGGGGCCTCTGGGTTTACCAGTTGGAAACATATCCCTATCCCTATGTTTGACATCACCTCACCTCGATGCCGATCTTAAGGATTCCCTCAGTTTTTGAGGGCGAATCCCTAGGATTGTCCTCGCTTTTTGCTCGCCCATCTTAGGGATAGGGACGCGCTCGAGGCTGGTTATCCTTGTGGTGTTTTGGGAGAGGGCCTCCAGGGGCCTCTGTGGTGACCTCCTGGGCACTCCTGGGAGCCCGCTGGCGCGGTCCAGGACGGGCCAGTGGTGTGGGACTGGCCTCAGACGTCTGGCGGCGTGGGTGATTCCGATGGGCAGCCCCGACCCGCTCCTCTGGGAGCAGTACTGTATTCACGATGATCCCGGGGCCCGAGAGTGGTCGCCAGGTGCCGACAGGAAGAGAACACGCCAGGATCGGAGAGACATGAGCCCGCAGGATGCCTGGGTGCGGAGGTCGAAGGTCGACCCTCGCGCCCATCCCGTGGTGCGTGCTGGCCATGCGCGTCCTGGCCCTCCGCCGAGGTCTCCCCGAAGAGCCCAGGAATGTGCCAGAGCCTGCGGGTCCTGGGAGGTCGATCCTGCGGAACCGCGGGGAGGTCCGGGCCCCTCGGCCCCTGGCCCTCAGCCGAGGCCCCCCCGAAGCCCAGGAACGTGCTGTAGCCCGCGGAGCCTCGAGTCACCGAGGATCAAGGACGCCTTAGGCTTAATCCTAGTAGCATACCGAAGACGTGGCCTCACTGAGTCCCCGTCTCTGCGCCAGGGACAATAGATCTGGGGGGGGGTGCTCTGGCACATCTGCAAAAAGGGCCTCCTATCGCTACTGTGCTTGGCGCTCCTCACTTAGGTCCCATCTCAAGGCTTAGGGTTAGGGTAAGTCCGCCTTCCAAGGGGGAGGAGGAGGAGGAGGAGGAGGAGCAGGAAGAGGAGGAAGAGGAGCAGGAAGGGGAGGAGGAGGAGGTTCCCTCTCCAAGGGTGACGCGTACTTATATATTTCTGATCGGCAAGGAGGCCCGGGCCCCTCGGCCCCCGCCCCCCGAGGAGCGCCGCCCGGGGCGAGGCCTTCGCCAGGGAGGCCCGGGAGCTGCGGTGACCTCCCCGCCGGCCGCAGTGAGCGTCGTCGGCGCGGCGCGTCGTCGTTTATTTTTTGTCAGGCATGGCATGTTCTGCACGCCCTAACCGCTGGCTTCCGGCTGCGGCCGCAGTTGGCATCGACGTGGCACCCGAGGTGCCCCAATGGCGGCGCCGAGCGGGTTTTCTTGTAATCTTGCCTGCACGCTGGTTGCATTAATTGCAAAACGAATTTGTGGTTTGCTGGGTGCGTCGCGCTCCAAAAAATGGCGCGCTCTCATCGGGCCGATGACCACGAGGCTCAACATTGTTCGACGTCGTTTCAAAGTCACAGCGTCGGAGGAAATCACGACCAGAGCTCTGAATACCCTATCCCATATTTGATCTCCTTTTGTCGAGCCGGATTGATCCATGAAAATCGTGTGGACCGTGCCGCGGCAGAAAACGAAGACGTAGTGTTTGCGCTTGTTTTCACGACGCCCCGATCTGAGAGGAGCAGGAGGAAGGAGGAGGAGGAGGACGAGCATGCGGAGGAGGAGGGCGAGGACGAGGAGGAGGAGGAGGCGGAGGAGGAAGAGCAGGAAGAGGATGAGGAGGAGGAGGAGGAGGAGGCGCGTTGGTTGTAGCAATCCTTGTGGATGACCAGGACGGGCATTTTACTTGTGAGATGCTGCGCGCAGACGGCCTCCTGAGCTCACTTTGTCCTATCTGGCTTCAAAGTGTCACCAGGGCGGCCAGGTGAGGTCTCCACGTTCCAATCTATGGGCGCTGAGCGCCACAAAGGCCGGGCGCTGGTTAGCCAGGACGATTTGGGGGGGGAGGCCCGCAACCCCAAGCAATTTGGCTCATCCGCCCCACCCTCATATTGGGCGAATCAACAAGGGTGGCTTATCGTGGCCTGACAGTAGCAGCATTTATATTCGGCGCCAGAGCGGAACATCCGAGAAACGCAGTAAACATCAGGCGCGAGTTTTGCATTGGGCGCGGAGACGGCACATCGAATGTTGCGGCAGCGTCGGCCCAACGCTCGGGCTTAACTCGGTATCTTTGTTGACGTGCGCCCTCATTGGTCAAGGTACAGCTTGTGGCAGGATGCGTCGACGTTCAAATCTGGAGGGCGGTAGCCTCGTAAATAGCGACGGGGCACCTCGCCAGGTTGGCCGCAGGGGGGGGGCGGAGGGCTGGCAGCGTAGGAGCGCCACGGGTGCGGCAGCAGCGAAAACATGCATTGATTTCTGGTTACACGTAGCGGTCGCCCCGCAGTTGACATGCTGTTGTCTTGTTTGTTGGCGACTGGCCATAATCGGAGGTGGATGGATATCATGCAGTGGAAGCCCGATGTGAGGCAGCCCGCGAACCGAGGCTCTGAAAGTATTTGAGCAGACCCATGGGTGAACCATGCATGCCGTCGCGGCCCTCTTGGAGGAGGAGGAGGAGGAGGGGTACCAGTGTAAACCCAAGAGGCCTCAACGATGTTGGAACACACCCTCCCTCCAGGCTCCCTCTTCACGGGCCCCTGCAACTCGTGAAGCTACCTCGTTGGAAGACCATTGAAAACCCTGAAGCATGCAACACATTTTCTCGGGATTCCAACGCCACGGACCAACCTGACTGTTGCGTACTGACGATCTTGAATCGCGCGAGAGGGCCAGTCCTGAGTTTCAGGACCGCGAATCAACGTGACTGTTGCGCCCTCATAACCCTGAGCCCTTCCAAAACACCATGTCTGGTACGTTGATCATGGGGGCCCGTGAAACTCTTGCAAATTCCGAAACGAGTGTGCATGGCGTTGAGGCGAGAGCAACATTTTGAAACGGAACCGCCCTCAATCCGTGAAGATCTTGCAGCTGTTTTAAGAAAATGTGCGCGGCGTCAAGGCGAGATCCACATTTTGAAAACGACCCGCGTTCAATCAATTTTAAAAAACGAATGTGCGCGGCGCTTAGGCGAGAGCCACATTTTGAAAACCACCCGCTTTCAACCCGTGAAACTCCTACACTTGTTGAACGAATGTGCGTGGCGTTGAGGCGAGAGCCACATTTTGAAAACCACCCGCCCTCAATGCGTGAAACTGTTGCAACTTGTCACGCGAATGTGCGCGGCGCTAGGGCGAGAACCACATTTTGAAAATAACCCGCGTTCCATATGTGAAATTGTTGCCAGTTTTTTTTTTGCCTCAGGGTCATAAGTGGTGAGGAAGTCTCAGGCGAAACGCCCGGCCCGCCCTAAAAACTGGCCTCGGAGTGCGACAGGCGGAAGTTGTTTATAAGGAACAGGAATGGAGGAGGAGGAGGAGGAGGAGGACGAGGGTGGAAAAAGAAAAGGGGTGGAGGTAGGAGGAGTAGGAGGAAGAGGAGGAGGAGGAGGAGGAGCAGGAGGAGGAGGAGGGCGAGCAGAAGGAAAGATGAATTCGACGGAACACGCTCCCACAAAATTGTTGGTGAACCTTAGATGCGAGGAGGAGACGGAATGAGAGCAGGAGGAGGAGGAGACGAATGGGGAGGAGAACGAAGAGATGGCGCTTCTGAGAAGGAGGTGGAGAAGGACGGGGGAAGTAGAGGGCGACGACGGCACTACGACAACAGCATGTAATCAACAAAGACATAAATAATGCCCAAAAGAATCATCGAACCTAAGAGCAATCGAATTTCCATTCCCTAAGCGTCCCACTCTCCGACCGCGACTTGTTGTTCATGATTCAGCCGTGGTCACGAGGGTGCCCAAGGAGGCCCCCCCAAGCGTGGCAAATCATTCAAGAGCCCCCCCAAAGCACGGCAAATCACTCAAGATCCCATCAGTAGTTGAATTCTCATTTCTGAAAAATAATTATTGTTGATCCCCCCTCACCGGTGCATACTGCTTTTCTCAATTAAATTGTGCCCCTCGACGCTCGCACCCTGTTTTTTGACAGGGAAAGTCTTGGTACTCAAACTGGGCCCCTGACCCCCCGGATTGCAACAACAACGTCTCCCGTCTGAGACTTTTTCCAAATTTACTCAGGACCTCCGCTCCTAAGACTTCTTCACAATTTACCCAGGATCGGTGCTCCCGCCTGTGACTTCCTTGCAATGTAGTCCAGACCCCCGCTCCCATCTGAGATTTCCTCACAATTTACTCAGGAACGGCGCTCCCGCTAGAGACTTCCTCGCAATTGAATCAAGACTTACTCGCAATTGAATCAAGACCACCGCTCCCGCCAGAGAACCCCTCACATGTTATTCAGGAATTGCGCTCTCGCCTGTGACTTCCATGCAATGTATTCAGAAATCGCGCTTTCGACACTCAGAAAACACGCTGCGCCAAGGACGCCGTCACAATTTACTTAGTAATCGCGCTCTCGCCGTACTCAGGCATCCCGCTCGAATGTCCCACCCGCCCGACCCGCCCGTCAAGGGATCGCCCGCCCGTCGTGGGCTCCCGCCCGAGATTTCCTTCAGGAACGGCGCGTTCGCCTAGGACTTCCTCGAACCTTCACGCTCTTACCTTCCTGCTCCTCCTCCTCCCTCTCCCTACTCCCTCCTCTCCTCCCTTCTCTCTCCCTCCTCTCTTCCCTCATCCTTCTGCCTCTCTGCCCTATCCCCTCTCCCTCCTCTCCCTCCTCCCTTTCCCCTCCCCTCTCCTGCCTCCTCCCTCCCTCTTTCTTTATTTCTCTCTCTCTCTCTCTCTCTTTCTCCCGTCTCTCTCTCTTTCTCTCTCTTTCTCTACGTCTCTTATATGTATTATTCTTGCTTTTTTTTTTCTCTCTCTCTCTCTCTCTCTCTCTCTGTCTCTAGTCAACCGCCCCCCTCTTCGCTCCTTCTCTCCTGGCGTGTTCCCTCTTCCTTCGTCCCTCCCCCCCCCCTTCCCTCCACTCTCCCTCGTTCTCCCCCTCCTCTTTCTGCAGGGCCCACACCAATTCCAATGGCGGGCACATGCACGCCCACGAAGGATTGCCCGCCCGTGCAGGTTTTCCCGCCTGTCTAAGCCCGCCGCCCCCCGCAAAGAGAAATGATCCCCCCAAAGGGGTTGTGATCGAAGACAAAAAGGGCGGGTATCGAGGGTGTGAGAAACTCGTTTTGAATGACGCACGGGCAAGTAAGAGCGAACAGTCGTATAATGATTGTTGTTGTTGTTGTTGTTCCTGTTGGTGTTGGTGTTGGTGTTGGTGTTGTTGTTGCTGTTGTTGTTGTTGTTGAACATTATTTATTCTAAAGAATAATTATTGTTGGGCCCCCTGGTGCGCGCCCCCCCTGCGCCGCCTAGGCCGCAGCTACATTTTCATCATTTTCGTGAGGAAGCCTCAGAAAAGAGGGTGTGTACAGGATCCGGTTGTTTTGTTGTAATCCGCTTTCCCTTGCAAAAAACAATAGAAAATGACATTTCTTGTTCTAATATAATCAAATTTCAAGAATCCCTTGCAAAAAATAAGGTAAAGTGGACATTCGCGCGCGCAAGACGAAATCCTTCCAAAACCTTAGTGTTCGCAGCGATTTTAACATAAAAACATCAAAAAACCAATGGTTTTTCAACAAAAAAATGTCAAAATCTCATCCCGCGCGCTCTTGCGGATTCGTAGGAAACCCAACACTTTTTAAACATTTCTGTCAAACGGGCTTTTGCGAGCAACTTTTTCGAACTTCTGCGACAACGGTTGCGCACCTGCCAGGGCCATCATCCCTGTCAAATAATACCATGCGGGACACATTCGTTTTTTCTTCGCGCGCGCACGCCGAAATCTCCAAAAACCATTGGGCTTCTTAAGAATTTTAGCACCGCGCATCATAAAATCACACGAATCGCACCGTAGGTCCCCGAAAAACACCTGCACGACTTTTCAAAATTTCTACCCGCGGCGGGGAAAAGACGGTGGGTGGGCGTGCAAGCGCCGTTCCCGCCCCTCCTCTCTCTTCTCTCCTTTCCTCCTTGTCCTGCTCCTCCTCCTCCTCCTCCTCCGGCGGGGGGCGTGAGGATCCGGCATCGCTCACAACCATCGGGACAACCATCGGGACAACCATCGGAACAACCATCGGGACAACCATCGGGACAATCATCGGGACAGTCATCGGGACAACGATCGGGACAAGCACAACCATCAGGACAACCATCGGGACAATCATCGGGACAACGATCGGGACAACCACAACCATCAGGACAACCATCGGGACAACCATCGAGACAACCATCGGGACAACCATATCCTCTCTCTCTTGTGTATTCCCACATCCCTCAGGAATTTGCCCTAAAGATGTGATCAACTATCTTGTGAGTACGTATCATGTGTATCATGTGTATCATGTACCATATGCATCATATGCAACAGATGTTCTGTGGAAGGCTTAACAACTTCTGTGGGTTAACAAGGCTTAACAACTTCTGTGGGTGTACGAACGTAGGCTTAACAACTTCTGTGGGTGTGTACTCCACGCCAGTGTAGTAGCCACGGTCGTCCGCAGGCCACGAAGTGAAGTGTCCGAACGTCATAGGGCGGGAAGCTGGGTGTGGGTGGTGGCGAAGAGTCGTGTGGATATTTGGTAGAGCTTGCACTGCCCCCCCACAAAGTGGGGGTATTGGCTGGCGTCGCATGAAAACCCTGGCACTGGTGAGAACACTGAGCGTTCGGGTAAAGTGATTGTTGTTGTTGTTGTTGTTGTTGTTGGTGTTGGTGTTGTTGTTGTTGGTGGTGGTGGTGGTGGTGTTGCTGTTGTGTTGGTCTTGTTGCTGGTAGTGATTGTTGTTATCGTTGCTGTTGTTGTTGTTGTTGCTGTTGCTGTTGCTGTTGTTGTTGCTGCTGTTGTTGTTGCCCCCCATCATGCGGACAGAAGCCGCCCTGGAGGGTTGGCAGCCGCCAGCGCATCGCCGCTCAGAGTCCCCAGCAAGACCGCCCGGCAGCAGCCCTTGCGGCGGCATCGAGGCGACGCGATCCGGGACGCCGTGATGCTGCCGCCTCGAGCCTACTGCTGCTGCCGCCAGCTCATTGCAGCAGCAGGAAGAGCAAACAATTCCACGAGACGGGTCCGATCCGAGCCAGCTCCTCCGTGATGTGTTCGCCACCGCCCCCCCTCCGTGATGTGTTCGCCACCCGAAAAATGATAGGCACACGTCCAACCAAGAAGCTTCAACGTTCAAATCTCGAAAATCCTCCTCCTCCTCCTCCGGGGAGGGGGCTATGACAGAGGCGGAGAGAGGCAGCAGAGAGGGCATCCGTAAACGCGGGTGCTACCCTGCCCGCGGACCGTTGAATGGGGAGGTCGGTGCAGGTAGGGCCGGAGCGCCACGTGGCGCGTGAACACAGCAGGGCCATACTAGATGTTTGAATGCAGCTCAGCTCTAGCCGAGGGGGAGTAGCACCGAACTCGGCCCGAAAGCTCGATCGATCGAGAGATGCTCCTTCTCCTCCTCCTTGCCTTGCTCCCAGGCGACCGCCTCATCGTCCACCCCTTCCTCTGTATTAGGCATGCTGTAGGGCGCCTCTCCTCCTCCTCCTCCTCTTCCCTCCTCCTCCTCCTCCTCCTCCTCTCCCCCCTCCTCCTCCTCCTCCTCCTCCTCCTCCTCCTCCTCCTCCTCCTCCTCCTCCTCCTCCTCCTCCTCCTCCTCCTCCTCCTCCTCCTCCTCCTCGCCGACCCCCATCCGCAGCGCTTCGCCCACGAAGCCCGCAGGAGCTGGGCCTCTGGGGGTGCGGGCTCGGGGACTTCGGCGCCGCCACGCTGGCGAGGGCGCTGCAGACAGGCGGGCGCAGCCGCCCCACCGCCCCTTCGGCCCGCCCGTCGCCGCCGCCAGTTGCCGCCGCCGCCTCTGTCGACGACGCCGTCGCAGGGGGCGACGTCGTCGGCGTCTGCGACGTGAGCCCCTTCGCCGCCGCCGTTCCGCCGCCGCCGACGACGACGACGACGACGACGAAGACGACGGCGACGCCTCGTCAAGTTTGCGACGGCGGTTTCTCCGCGGAGACAGCGTCCGTTTATGGGACTGGGACCCTTCCACCTCCTCGTCAAACTCATTCCCTCTTCCTCCTGCAACGCCCACTGGCCAGCCTTTGAAAGGAGAGTGGGCTGGACTCCAGTGCTCGAGGACTGCGCTTGAGCCTCGCAGCGGGACCTCGGCGGCCGAGCGCGCTTCCTCGGCGCGTGCCCGAGGAAATGCAGCGCCGCCTGCACGGCCCGTCGCCGCAGCAGAGCAGCTGTGACGTGTAAGTGGTCGTGGAGAGGATCAAACCAATAGAGGGAATAGAGAGAGGGAGAGAGAAAGAGAGAGAGAGAGAGAGATCGCGTCCCCTCGTCACCGCCCCTCCCGCCCACGCAGCATCCGCAGCGGCACCCCCCGCGGGCCAGGGCCCCGGGGCGAGACGGCGCCCAGAGGCGCCTCGACGGAAGCAGCGCCGCGCCTCCGGGACGCCGGCCGCGCCCGCGTCTCCGCGGCCAGCCCGCCTCCCGCCCGTGAACCACGGTCTGGCTTTGGCATCGCTCGGACGTGTGCATTTCTGTTCTCGGCGAGGACCTTCGAGGAGCATCCTCGACCCCCGTGCGCAGCAGGGCACGCACGAGACCGAAACCCGCACGTCGTTGTCTGATGCACTGCTCTGCCGATCGGCGCGCGCCCTCGCACACCCCCTCCCCCCTATGGAGTAGATGTTGGTTGTTTCTGGCGCCTGTCTCAGGCAGGTGGAGTCCCCCCCACGGGACGCACTGCTGCAAACGGTCGCAGTGAGCAGAGGTCCAGAGCCAGACACGCCCCCTCCTCCCCCCTTCCGCCCAATGTCGAAACGCCGAATGAGCAGGCCAGCCACAACTGGGAGAGCTGTGGTCCTTACCCCCCTGGGGGACCCATCGATTTCGACACCCCTCTCGAGAGATCGTCGATGCGATGGGTTCCCCCAGGAGGGTAAGGACCACAGCTCCCCCAGTTATGGCTGGTCGGATGAGAGAACGTTCGCGTGCACGGGCGTCCTCCAAAGGGCCTTTGCACATGGCAGCCACAGAAGACCCACCACTTCGCCCACCCACCACCCGCCACACCACCCCAACCCAACCCGAAGGCCCCAAGTTGTCCTCCGTTCCCAATCAAGTAGTGGGGGGGGGCGGGGACCATCGAAGAAGCGCACATGAAGCCTGTACCCCAACCCGAAGTTCGGGTCTTCGGGTCTGGTTGGGGCGGTCTGGCTGGTGTACATGATGCGGGGTCCTCGGTGTGCTCGCCTCCGGGTCCGTCCCAGGAGAGGTAGAGTGAGAGAACCCGTGGGGAGGAGAGGGGAGCTCCCGTAGACGCGCTAACGGTGTGTTAGCTAACGGCGAAGTAAGACAACAAATTGTAGGAAGGCGTGGTTCGTGGCCAAACCAATTATAGGAACGCGTGGTTCGCATTTTCCTACAACTCGCTATGTCGTTTTCGTTCGATACACTCGCAGATTTGCAATGTAGGAATTGGTCTTTCGTGATTTCCTACAGTTTGTTTTGCGTGAGCTCGGTGTCACAAACACCAGATTCCCAACCGCTCCGTTACCCAAGCACACCGTCAGCGCGGCCTTGGAGCTCGAGTAGCTTCCCCGAGCCCCAAAAGACGGGGTCTCCCAAGCCAGGGCCCCGCATTCCAGGCATCCTGGCTGGGGTCCGAGCAGATGGGCTCGGAGGATCTCTGCCGCATCGCCGCTGCGCCGTCGATACGTCGGCGACGCGTCTCGATGTGGAGCCCGATGTTCTCACCGCTGGCGTCGCCGATGCATCGCCGACGTCGCCGACGTACTACCCATGCATCGGCGATGCGGCGCGATCCTCCGACCCCATCCAGGAGGCCTCTGTGCATAGCGGGAGGCACGGTGAGGCTCTCAGCAGGCACCCCATGAGGCCACAGGTTTGGGTGGGCACCGGGGCCCACAAGGGCCCCATGGGTCCAGGCATCCGTAAAATCACACTCAGAATGGCCGCAGTTTTGCGTGGCTTGCACTCCCAGATGCGATGGCGCAACGCCTAGCTCCCGTGGATGCAGCGAGCGCAGGAGAGGCGGAGGAGGAGGAGGAGGAGGAGGAGGAGGATAAAGGGGGAGCAGGAGGAGGATGGAGGGAGGGAGAAAGGAAGAAACTTTCCCTGGGCACGCTCCAGCGCCCGGTGCCCGACTCCTTCTTGCGCGACGTGGGCCCCGCTGGTGCAGGAAGTCGCCCGCACGACACGGCACGAGCCCAAACCGACATGTACTCGCAGGCGATTTGTCCGCCCCAACCCTTGAGCGTCTAATGGAGAATTATCCCAGTGCGACCCTACCTAGGAGTTGGAGCATTTAGGAAAGCAACATCTACATCTACACCGACAGCTACATTTACATCTACACCTGCATCTACATCTACATCAACATCAACAGCGAGACTCACATCTACATCTACATCTACACCTACATCAACATCTACATCTACATCTACATCTACATCTGCACCTACATCCACATCTACACCTACACCTACATCTATATCTACATCTACACTTTCGCATTGGTTTTGCTTTTGAACTGTGCTATGCTAAGCTAGGCTGTGCTATGCTATGCTATGCTGTGCTATGCTGCGCTTTGCTTTGTCTTGCTTTGCTGTGCACCCAACGACAGCAGGCTGTTCAGCACTGCTCGCGGCTCCTGCAAGTGCTGCAGGCTGTTCAGCACTGCTTGCACTAGGTTCAACACTGCTCGCGGCTCCTGCAAGAGCTGCAGGCTGTTCAGCACTGCTCGCAGCTCCTGCAAGAGCTGCAGGCTGTTCAGCACTGCTTGCAAGAGCTGCAGGCTGTTCAGCACTGCTCGCGGCTCCTGCAAGAGCTGCAGGCTGTTCAGCACTGCAGGTCCGGCTTTGCGTTGCTTGTGCGCTGCTTTGCTTTTGTTGCTGTTGCTTTGCCTTTGCTTTGCTGCTATGCTATGCTATGCTATGTTGTGTTGCGCTGTGCTATGCTATGCTGCGCTATGTTATGCTATGCTAGGGTACGCTCGGCTGCGCTGTGTTATGTTAGGTTATGATATGCTATGATATGCTGCGCTATGCTATGCTATGATATGCTATGCTATGCTGCGTTATGCTATGCTATGATATGATATGCGATGATGCGCTGTGCTAGGCTATGATATGATATGATGTACTGCGCTATGCTATGATATGCTATGCTATGATATGCTGCGCTATGCTATGCTGTGCTGTGCTGTGCTATGCTATTATATGTGGCGCTGTGCTATGCTATGCTATACTGCGCTGTGCTACGTTATGCTGTGATGCGCTATGATATGATATGGTATGATATGCTATGCTGAGCTATGATACGCTACGATATGCTATGATGTGCGTGGCTATGCTATGCTATGCTATGCTGTGATGCTGCTGCGCTATGCTGCGTTGAGCTAAACTAATGTAAGCTAAGCTATGATAAGCTAAGCTAAGCTAGGCTTGGCTAAGCTAGGCTGAGATAAGCTAAGCCAAGCTAATCTAAGCGAAGCTAAGCTAAGATGAGATAAGCTAAGCCAAGCTAATCTAAGCTAAGCTCAGCTAAGATGCGATAAGATGAGATAAGCTAAGTTTACTTAGCTAAGCTAAGCTGGGTGAACCCAGAGGGCGCAACTGGGGGAACCGCGGGGCGGATACTGGGGGAACCGCCCGGGGCGCTTTCCACTGCCCGGCCCCTTTAAGCCCAGAGAGTAACCCGAGTAAGCGATTAAGGACCCCCCCCCCCCTCTCCGGTGAAAGGATAACGCACCCGGCACCCGGAAGCGTTATCCTGGCACCAGGAGGGGGTACACCAGATCGCACGGGTCCCACGGAGTCCCGCTTTCTTAGCTTTGCTCAGCTTTTTTTTAGTTTTTCTAAGCTTTTCCTTAGCTTTTCTCAGCTTTTCCTTTTTCGTATTCGTATTCTTATTATCATTACAATTCTAATTGGGATGCCACCCGAGGCGGGGCGCTGGAATTATTTATTTTCCTTCCATTTGCGCGGTGCTAATAATATCGCTCGGCGAACCCCCCCCAAATAATCATTTAATTACGGCGCGGTGCTAATGATAACGCCGGGGGGGTCCTTAATTGCTTCTCCGGGTTAAGAACCCTTCTAGGCAGAGCCTAGGTAGGGAATGAAGCCGCTCAGAAAAGGGGGGGAACTCGGGAATGCACCCCCAGAGGGGGCTATTTGGACCTACCGCTATCAGGATGCACGCCCCCTTCGTGTATCCCAAGGTTGGGCCCCAAATGTCCTGTCCATTTGAGAAACCCACGAAGTCGGGGACAGGGGTCGACATATCCTCTGCCGTGGAATGTCAGGCTGGGCGTCTCCGTTTCACTTGGGTCGCACCTACCAGTTCCGATCCAGGGCCTCGCGGTCCACATCGGCGGCGAGCGAGGGGGGGAAGTGAGAAGGAGAAGGCCTGCTCAGAAGGCGGCGGGACTCTGCAGACGCCCTCGCGTACTCTGGCAAGCTTGGCTCTGTCTTGGAGGAGGGCTTCGAAACCCTCTCTCGGCAGCAGGGGGACGCCCGAGCCCCGAGCCCTCTGAGAAGGCCTTCTCCCTCTCACTTCCCCCCCCCCCCGCCGCCAAGCACAGCCTTCGGCCGCGACCCCGCGTCGGCCCTGCGCGGATCACCCCCGCGCGGAACGCAAACTGTTCATGGGGTCGCGGAAGCAGTTAATCGCGTATGGTTGGGCGGTGCGTATTGCTTGGCATCGCTCGGACGTGTGCATTTTTCCTTCGGCGAGGACCATCGAGGAGCATCCTTGATGATTTGGCGAAAAAACCACGCACGAAACCGAAAAAAACAAAGGGAATGGACGTCCGAGCGATGGCCAGATTGGGGGGGGGGTCATAAATGGGGGGAAGGCGATAGTGGTCCGAAAAGGTACCCAAACGGTACCCAAACGAGCCCCCTGGGGCTCCGGAGGGGCCCGGAAGGGGCACGCAAGGGGACCGTTTCTGACCCCCCCATCTATGACCCCCCCATTAAGCCACGCCCAATATGGGAATAGACAGGTGTTCGGTGGGATCCGCTCAAAGTCGGGTCCCAGACCTTCCCGGGGTCCATCTGGGCCACTCGATCATGCCAGATGTACGCTCTGCGGTTCCTGAGTTGCCTCCTGCAGACGCCGACAGTTGCGAAGCAGTTGCACACGCTCTCTCTCTGGGCATGCTTCCGCTCTTGATGTGTGCGTCGCTTGTGGCCGTCTCCTGCCTGGAACGCTGGCTGGCGTGATGAGTAGGCGCCCCCCGCGCGCGCGGCTGCGGGGCCGGCACGAGGACAGGTCCTTTCCAGAGCGATCCGGAGCACTCTCAGAGCACTGGGGAACGCTCTGAGAGGGCCGCGGTTCCCGAGAGCCGCCAGATCTCTGAAGCTTTTTGTTAGGTTCTCGCGTCCAATGTAGCACCAGCCACATGTTGTCTGCGTTGAGAGTTCCCGGCCGCTGCACTGCAACTTCTTGTTTTGGGCCCTTGGTCACCCGGTCTGTGGGGCTTGCTCTCAGTTTGTCCACAACCAGTTGCAGAACAAGTGCAGTGCAATTTTTCCGCGTTGCAGAACATTGTGTCGTGCACTTGTTTGTTCTGGCCGTTGCAGTTTCTCCGTCTGGATCCTCTGGTGGGCCTGTTGCCCCGTTTCGGATCTACCCCGCTTAACTTTCCACGATGCAGTCAACCCGCATAGTAAGGATGGGCAGCCTTCCCAAGGGTGCCCTCGCATCCTTGCCTCTTCGGCCCATACTTGGCCACTTCCGTTGGCCAACCTCGCTCGACAAACGCTGACGTGGCCCTCCGAGGCCTCTTGCGTCCTTACGCGCTGCAGGCTGACCGTGTCCCCGCGCGCACTGGTCCTCGCCCTGGCTTCGCCCTGCGCGAGGCTGCGGGGCGAGGCTGCAGACGCTGCTCCTCGACGACAACGGCATCGCCGGCGCGGGCGCCACCGCGCTGGGCCAGGCGGCCGGCCGCCCCCCTGGGCGACGCGCGCCTCGGCCGGGAGGTCACGGGGACCAGCGCACTCAGCGGCTGCACGTCAGGGTGGCCTGTCGCCGGAGGGGCCCATTGGTGCGGGCCCAAGGGGGCCCCCCGACCGCCGCGCGCGATGCGGCAGCTGCGTCTCGCGCGCTCGGTTCTTGCCCCCCCCCCGCGGCCCCCGAGAAGCCGCGCACCAAAGGTCACTCTTATACCCAGGGTCACTCTTGAACGTGTAGCCGAACTCAGGGCGCCAGAGACGGGGGCACAGCAAAGGGGGGTGCGGGGAACGCCGATGTCCACGTTTGGCTGTGCCCCCGTTCAGGGGGCCCTGGGCGCCGTAGACGGGGGTACAGAAAGCGGGGGTATATGGAAAAGCCTAGGCCCGCGTTCAGCTAAACCCCCGTTTACGAAACCCGACGCACACCCAGGCATGTTCAGACAGCAAAAGTGCTCGCTTCATCAAAGTAGACAACAAGCCATGAAACATAAACTGTTGGCGCTCCGCGCGGATTGCTTGGATCTGCGCGGGCCCCCCCCTGGCGGCGCCTCTGGCGCTGCCCCTGGCATGCTCCGCGCGCCAGGGAGGGGGATCCAGGCCAGATCCAAGACATCCGCGCGGAGCGCCAAAAGTTTATGCTTATAGCTTTTTTCTATTTTCTTCTCCTACAGTCGGGGCCCTGAAGAAGGAACCCTTTTCGTTGGGGAGGGGCTCCGTGTTCCTTGATTGCTTCACAGTTTGCCATGGGTTTTCTTTTGGTTTTCGATGGGAAATCGAAGTTCAACTTGTGGATGAAAGGGGCCTCGTTCCTTATTTAGGATTCCTTGGGTCAACGCTCCGACTCTAGTTGAAGACCTCTGGACGGAAGGCTTTTCACAGCTCTCGGCCTCGAGGGGCGCTCGCCGTGCCCCGGGGCCGTCACAGCGCAGCTCGGGAGGGGAAACCGGCACTGCCTGGGGTCGGGGGCGGCCAAGAGGGGGGTGACGACTAGGGGGGGGTGGATATTATGGCGGGGGCCATGAGATTTCCCCAGATTTCATGGCGCCCCTTCTTGTTTCATTACGTCCCTGCCCCCCCCGCTGGGCCGCGCACATGCCGCCGGTCATGATTTGAACCCCCCTCTCTTGGACACCCCCCTCTTGGCCGCTCCCGACTGGGGGGGAGAGTCGGGACTTCCGGGGGCCGCGTGTGGAAGAAGGCGGGACGTCGCACGTCTGGGGACGGGGCTCAGCCCGAGCGCTGGATGCTGCAGCAATGCTCGACCTGAACGCCTAAACGCTGTTTTTTTTTTGCCGCAAAGGAGGAGGAGGAGGAGGAGGAGGAGGAGGAGCTCTGAGCGCGCTCCAGAACGCTGGAACGCTCTGAGATTGGGCTTCGCGTCGTGAACTGTCTCCGTTCTGGTCTTGTTTTGCCGCTAAAGGCAGAACGAAAACGGAACGACGGAGAACGGAAACATAACGAAGATTGCAGACACCGTTTGGGTCGAGCCCTGTGCTGCAGGATCCTGCAAGGCCAGAATCTGGTTGGTTTGGGCGCTCGCAGCCTTGGAGGTGGCTTTACATATGGGCTGAGCCGGGGGCAGGAAGCCCCCCACGAGATTACAGCGCAGTGTTTTCTGAACGACCCTGAGATCGGGACGTCGCAAGTCGAAATCAACCAACATTCATTCTAAATAAAGCGCTGGCCTAGGGGTCGAGGTCCCCGCGTGTCCGCCGCAAAAGCATCGCTGGACAATCCAGACATCCAACGTCTTGAGAGAATAATCAGAGATGTTTTGGCCGGGCCTCTGGAGGCTTGTTTCGGCCCCTGGATTGTTAGGGAACGACTCAGGATGAAAAGCCGGCCCTGGGGAAAGGATCGGAACTTCGGGATAATCACTTGAAAAAGACATCAGATGATTGGGATTCCAACTTGTTCACAACAGCTGTGAAAAAAAAGGCAAGTGTACACCATCACCATCCTTGCTCGGAGTCATCTTGGGCCCTGTGATGGTGCACGGATCCTCCTGGAGGAGGGCGTATACACCATGCCGGGGCACCGGGGCCTTGGATTGTTTTGGCCAGGGATGGTGGTGGTGATATAGAAGTACCCCTTCGGTGTATACGCGTGGTTGGGCTGGGAGGACGGCAAAAGAGGGAGAGAGAGAGAGAGAGCGCGCACAAACTGCGCGTTGGGCGCTGGACGAAATGCCGGTCGATCCCAGACCCCATCGCGTCGTGGAAGAATGCGACAGAGGATTCTTCAGACCCCCACGTGTTGGGATCTCGTTGTGAACAGAGCACTGTTGCCGCCTTCCTCCTTATCATTCCCGCCCCCCCTCTCCGTTATCCTGATTCCTAGTTCCTACTTCACCGTTCCTGGTGGCTGCGAACCGCGAAAATGTCGTCACGTCCATGGGCTCCTGGGAGGTCCAGCGGAGTGACGTCCTTGTATACGTGGATCAGAAAAAGGCCTTGTCGTCCCTAGGGGCTGCGAATTACGAAATTGCCGCCGCTTTCTGGTGCTCTGGGGGAGTCCAGCGGAGTGACGTCCTGTATGCGCGGATCAGATGAGGCCCGGTTGTCCTTGGGGGCTGCGAGCTGCGAAATTGTCGCCACTTGGGGTGTCCAGTAGAGTGACGTCCCACGCGGATCAGACGAGGCCTCGCCGTCCTTTGGGGTTGCGATTTGCGAGGTTGTCGCCACTTTCGTGGGCTCTTGGGGGGTCCATCGGAAGGACGTCCTACGCGGATCAGATGAGACCCTCGCCGTCTCTAGGGTCTGCAGAACTGTCGCCACTTTCGCGGGCTCCTGGGGGGTCCAGCGGAGTGACGGCCTGCGCGGATCAGATGAGACCGCCGCCTTTTGGTGGCTGCGACCTGCGAAGTCGTCGCCACTCTCGTGGGCTCCTGGGGGTCTGTCGGAGGGACGTCCTGCGCGGGAGCTGCGAACTGCGCAGGTGGGCTTCTGGGAGACCAGAATGGTACATGCCTCGCCCTCCCCGTGCATGGCGGGCTGCGCGCATGTCGCCTCATCCGTCACCGTTGTCCGTCAGGGGAGGGAACGGTACCGATACCGCTGATCGTCCTGGCGAGTCCTCGGTCGCCACGGCTGGATTCTCGAGCTGTCCTCGAAATCCTGGTCAGAGCGCGCCCGCAGCATCCCCAAGACCCAAACCTCCGCTGTCGTGCTTTTTTCACACGCCGAGGAGGAAGAGGAGGAGGAGGAGGAGGAGGAGGAGGAGGAGGAGGAGGAGGAGGAGGAGGAGAGGAGGAGAGGAGGAGGAGGAGGAGGGAGGAGGAGGAGGAGAGGAGGAGGAGGAGGAGGAGGAGGAGGAGGAGGAGGGAGGAGGAGGAGGAGCGGGAGGAGGAGGAGGAGGAGGAGGAGGAGGAGGAGGAGGAGGAACTCGATCGGTCTGACGCTCTCTCCCTTTGCCTGCTCCCTCTTTTTTCCTTCTCCCTCCCTCTGCTCTCCCTCCCTCCCTCCATGGCGTCCTCCTTCTCCTCCCTCCCTCTGTTCTCCTGCCCTCCCTCTGCTCTCCGTACGTCCCTCCAGGTTCCTCTCGCCCCCATGGCTCCGCTCCCTTCTCCTCCCCCGCCGCAGCCGTGTCGGCTCAAGGTGGCCTCGTGGGCTGCCAGTCGCAGGGGCGGTCCCAAGGGGGGGCACCGAACCGCAGCACACGGCCCTTTGCCGTGCGCGGCCCGGTCGGGTCCTTCTCGGGCCATGGGGGAGCAGCAGGGGGAGTCGCGCCAGCCCCAGGCGCGGGTGGGAGATCAAGGGAGCGCAGCCGCGCCGCGTGCATCAGCAGCGCCCAGAGATCCGGCGCCCGAAGCAAAGTGGAGCGGCCCGCTGTGGGGCCCTTGTCGGCCTCCGGGGGCCCTCGCTGGGCCTCGGGAGCGTCAGAACAGGGCTCAGGACGAGCAGCCGGCCCCAGGGAAGCGGTCCAGACCTCCAGGGCCCTCGCGGCGAGGAAAGTGGAGCGGCCGGATGTCTGGGCGGGCCCCGCTTCCATGCAGCATCGGCGCGGCCCGTCGCCAGTCAGGCGGCAGTGGTTCCATGCTTCCGGGGGGGGGGGGGCTTCCCCGATCCGTGGACCTGTCGCCCGCCGCGCGCCAGGTCTACGGATCCGTAGTCCAGCCCGAGGGGGGAGGACGGTGAGTTGGAGCAGGGGGAGGAGGTGGGGGCAGGAGGGAGAGGCGGGAGGAGGGGGAGCAGGAGGAGGGGGAGGAGGCGCCAGCCCCAGGCGCGGGTGGGCGTTCAGACGTTCAGATGAGCGGCAGCGCACGTCGTGACACTACGGGCAGATTGTCGACGCAAAACCTCCAAGTCGGCCCCTCGAGCCACCCGGGGCAGGACCTCTGGATGGGGATTACGGCGTTTCTCCATCCTGGCCAGGTTCTGGCTCCCACTGGGGAACGCAGGTATGGGGACGCAGTGGGAAGAGGTGGGGGGGAGGAGAGCCAGGGGGGAGGAAGGGAAGGAGGAGAAGGAGGAGGACAGCAACGCACATGCCCCAGAAGAGTGCAGTGCACATGAAGGCCGTGACGAACAGCACCGAGGTGAAATAGACCAGGACCCACATGAACAGTGCGACGTGCCGAGGCGCCACGAACAGAGCACACCTGCCCAGGACATTACTGAAGAAATTGCCACCAAATCACCAACAACGGAGAACTGGCATAAAGCACCACCCCACGAGGTGCAGAACGACTTGATCTTCGCGGCAGCCACATACAATGAGAGTGACATCACCAGGAAGCCCCGAACGAAGAAAAAACAATGCCAAAGACGCACTGCAACACGTAGCGGAAGCACAATACCCAGAACTCCGAGGCGGACGAAAAGCCAGAATTTGACATAATATCCACAGCAGGATGCGCAGACAGAGCTCCAGACAGGTATGTGGCATCACCTGGGACGGTGCTATGCAATATCCCCCAGGCTGTGCCCCCCTCAACGCGAGGGGAGACCACCGAAGCCACTCCCTGGGAGCAGAGGTGTGTGGCGTCACCTGGGACAGCACAGCCCGTGCTATCCTCCAGGCCGTGCCTCCCGCAATACGCAGCTCAGCAGCATCCACACGGCCTGGAGGAGGGCTGAGGACGATAGGCTCCGCCACGCCGAGCTCCGAGACGCAATTGGGGACAGTGGCGACGTCCCGCTCCAAGAGCGACACGACGAACAGGAAGACCATGGCCCCACACGTGCATCTCGTACCTCCTGCGGCGGCGGCGGGGGCGGGAGGAACAGCGGGAACTGCACCCTCAGCCACAGCCCCCGACGGGACGAAGACATCGGCGTCGGCTAAGAGGGGAAGAGGGGAAACAGGAGGAGGAGGAGGAGGAGGAGGAGGAGGAGGAGGAGGAGGAGGAGGCGCCGCGGGGGATCAACACGGTATAATCAGGGAACTTCTGGTGGGTTGCGTCTTGAGGCGCAAGCGCAGTTCCATTTCCGATCCGATGCGATCTTGTCCTCGTTTTGTTACCGTTTTTTATGAATTATTTTGTCGATCGGCGCGGGCCCTCGCACCCCCCCCTCCCCCCCATGGAGTAGATCGTAACTGTTTTGGGCGCCTGTTCCGAGCAGGTGGAGCTCCTCCCTCATAGCACACACTGCTGCAAACAGTCGCATGAGGCACAGGTCCGGAGGCAGACCCCCCCCTCCGCCAAATGTCGAAACGCCGAAAAAGAAAACGCTCACATTCTCCTCCTCGGATTGAGGATTCATGATGTTGACCGCTCTTGGCTAGATTCGTTGCCGGAGGGGACCTCCAGAACGCGCCCAGTGAGAGACTCGGTGGGCGATTTTGAGGAGGAAGAGGAGGAGGAGAAGGAGGAGGAGGAGGAGGGAGTAAGGAGTAGGGAGTCAAGCTAGCCAGCTCGAGCGAGTCAAGCATGGCATGCCCAGTCCCACCCGCCCTCCCACAACATAAGAAGCAAAGCTGGCACAACTGGGGGCCGAAGTCACACCGGCCAGCCGGTTTGGTACAGCTGATGCGGCCGCGATGGCGGTTGCCGACGGGAATTGGCGAGCGCGTGTTGAATGCCGCGCACGCATTGCCAGACGAGTCGAGAATGGCCCGGTACACCGCAGGAAGCCAGAAGGCCCCAACTTGTAATGTTTTTTTATAAGGGGGGGTTTGGATGGGCGGGCGCGGGGTGTGCGCCGCATCCCATTCCTGCCAAGCATTTTGCGACGTGGACGACAGGACGTCCATGCTGAGAGGAAAAACGTTGGTGCGCGGCGCCGAGGCGAGAGCGACATGTCACCCCTTCGCGCGGGGTGTGCACCGCGTCCCATTCCTGCCACGCATTTTGCGACGTGACGACAGCACGACCATGTTGACAAGAAAAACAAAAACTGTGTATTGTCTTTTGCAGATTAGAATGGGACGGATTGGATGGGCGGGCGCGGGGTGTGCGCCGCGTCCCATTCCTGCTATGCATTTTGCGACGTGGACGACAGGACGTCCATGCGACGGTGCCAATGACGGCGACGACTCTAGAAGGATTTGAGCATGCGCTCGCGGCGACGCGCGCGCATGTCGCCCGCGTGGTATTTTTTGCACAGGATTCGCGGCCTGGGTGCATGACAGAGCATCGCGAGTGCACCGCGCGATGACGTGAAATCGCTGGATTTGACAGAATTCTTAAGATTCCTATGGTTTTCCTATGATTTCAGCAAGAGAGCCCGGGCGGGAAATTTGTACAAATTTTGTGAAAAAGCATTGGGTTTTTGATGTTTTTATGTTGAAATGCTTGCAAACACACGGTGTTCGGTAGGATTCTGACATGAACGCGCGCGTGTGCTCTTTGTGGTATTTTTTGCAATGGATTATCGCCGTGGACGACAGGACGTCCATGTCGAGAGGAAAAAATAACAAAAATGTTGATTTTGTATTGTTTTTACAGGTTAGGATGGGACCACCCGGATGCGGCCCCTAATGGCCGGCCTGAGGGGGGAGTAGGAGTATATTCTAATAAGGAATAAGGATAGGGAGTAGGGAGTAGGAGGAGTGTCCCAATCCCTCAGTCGTGCCGGCCCCAGGTGCAGGTATGGGAGAACACCTATATCATGGCCCCGAAAGACGAGGAGAAGTTCTTGCCCTCGAAGGTGACAGAAGCCACTGAGAAGGTGATGAGCGAGTACCTCAGGGACAAGGAGTACAACGCGGAGGACGCTAAGGCGTGGACTTTGGAGATCGCCAACGACATAAAGGCCGCGGTGAAGGAGCTGAACATCCCGCGCTACAAGCTGATCGTGCAGGTGGCTATTGGAGAGCAGGGGTCTCAGGGCGTACGGATCGCCTCCAAGTGCCTGTGGGACAGCACGTCCGACAACTGGTCCTCGCACACGTTCGCCAACGACTCGCTCTTCGCAACAGCCATGGTGTTCGGATGCTACTACGAGTGAGTGGCCGAACGCGTCTCTGGTCCTGGAGCGCTGCATGCATCCTTTCTCTCGGGTGCTGCCAGAGGAGGTCCTGTCCCACGGTGGTTCTAGCTTTTCGCCCCGTTTTGGTGCCCCCTGGGGCTCTCGGAGCCCCGTGATGGGGGTGCTCTGGAGGCCTTGTGGGCCTCGCTGGAAAAATCCACAGCCACCTGGCCAGACCTCCGCGGACGTGCTGTTTTTGTTCCACTCCGCGGCCTCAGAGCTCCCCCGATCCCCTCCCAGAGGCCCAGACCCCCGACGTCATGATTTTTTCATGACGTCGACCCCCAGAGGTTTGGACCCATTCCCCAGGACCGGTGTTTCCTCCTGAGTCGTTTTTTGACGGTCCCGAGGCCCGGTAGGGCCCCCCGGAGGCCGAATGGAAAACCTCCCGTCGTGATTTTTTCATGACTCGAGGGGGTCTGGGGGGCAGCTTTTCCGCCCCTGGTCCACTCTTGTCGCTCTGAGCCCCAGGAGCGGCCCCTGGGCCTTGACGGTCGGGGGAGGGCGCCCGCATGGGAGACAAAGCATGTCCCTCGGAGGCCCCGCGGGCCGCACCGGGACCCTCTCTCGGGCAGCGCCGGGGCCTTGCCCTTGCGGCCGCCCCCCGCGCCTGCCCGGTCTGCTGCGGCCTCGTCTCCCCTCCGCCTCCGCCGCCTCTCGAGTATAGGAGATCGACGGCAGAACTGATGTATCCCAAAGTTGGGACTTTCGTCAAATCCACGGAAGTAAAAAGAAAATTCCCCAATCGGAGCTTGCCTTTCGCTGTAGGGGTCCTAGCGGATTCATATGGTTAGGATAGGTTTGCCTTCCGAGTTTCGCCGCACGCCCGGGTGCCCGGGGGTGCCCGGGGGCCCGGGGGCCCGGGGGCCCGCGGGTGCCCGGGGGTGCCTGGGTGCCCGGGTGCCCGGGTGCCCGGGCGTGCCTGGGGGTGCCTGGGGGTGCCCGGGGGTGCCCTACAGCCAAATAGCCCTATAGCCCTACAATTCTATAGCCCTATAGCTCTATAGCCCTATAGCTCAATAGCCCGCTAGCCCTATATAGCCCTGATTGGGCTTTTTTTCTACAGTATCATGTGACGTTTGTTACGCTCCAGATTCGATGAACAACTTCTGGGGTGAATCGATTCTGTAGTCGATCTCCTCCTCGAGCCTCCGCCTCCCGCGCGCGGGGTGCCACATGGCGGGCGCTCTTTTGCGTTTCCTGCTCTCGGCTACGTCAGATGCGTGTCGTGCCGTCGCGGCAGCGACCCCGCCGCGGGCGTTCCAGCATGAACGCCGCCAGTGGCCCAGGATCGGCCAGCATGGAACGATCTGGCGATCGAAAATCCGCCGATCGTTTACTGTTGAGCGATCTTCGCGACGTCAGAAACCAGCGCCGAGGTCGTCGCGACACGAACCTGCGGTGCGTGTACGGGCTACCCTTCGCCAGAGTGACCTTTGGTGCGGTCCCCCCGGCTCTGGCTTGCCCGCGGCCCCCTCAAAGCCGCGCACCAGAAGTCACCGTTGCCCAGGGATACTTCTGCGTGTCGCCGATCCTCCTGTGCTCGGGTACATTCGTCGATGATTTCCTATCGATTGAGGTGTTGTGGCATCTGGGGCCTGCTGGCGGTCTCGGGAGGCATCCAGCGGCCTCTGGAGAGGGCCCCCTGGATACCCCCCGGGGATGCCTCCGTGAACCTCCAGAGACCCTCATAGATCCGACGCTCCGGCAAGAATTCGAGCGGCTGGTTTGGGGCCGTTTTCGGCTTCCATGGGGCCCTCGTCGGGCATCGGGACCGTGAACGAAACGACTCAGGACGAAAAACCGGCTGCAGGGAACTGATCCAGATTTCCAGGGCCCACGCAACAAGAAAATGTGAGAGGCCAGCTGTCTGCGACTGCATCTCCTCTCATCGCCACGCCCCCCCGCGCACCACCCCCTCCCCTAGATGCGACAATCGCCGTGGCGCGTCTCTCCCCGTGAAGCCCTGCGCAAAGGAGTGCAACGTCGCGGAACAACCACGATCGGAGCTCCTCCTCTTCCTCCTCCTCCGCCTCCTCCTCCTCATCCTCCTCCTTTTCCTCCCCCTCCTCCTCCTCTTCCTCCTCCCTCCTCCTTCCCCTCCTCCTTCCCCTCCTCCTTCTCTCTCCTCCTCCTTCTCTCTCCTCCTCCTCCTCCTCCTCCTCCTCCTCCTCCTCCTCCATCCTCCTCCTCCTCCTCCTCCTCCTCCTCCTCCTCCTCCTCCTCCTCCTCCTCCTCCTCCTCCTCTTCCTGGCTTCAGGCCCCGTTTCTCGAGCCAGCGGAGTTCCCGACCCCGCCTTCAGGCCCCGTTTCCCGAGCCGGATCGGTCCGCGACGGTGCCGGGCCCCGAACGCGGAGCAACACTGCAGTCGTTGTGTGTTCTCGGCGCGTGGATCTGAGGGGTTCTCATGCGACGCTTGTCCCGGCGAGGGCCTCCCAGACCTCTCGACCCTTTTTCCCGGGGCAGACGTTTCGCCGCGGGCGCTTTTTCGATGGTCCCAGGGCGCAAGCAGAGCCCCTGGAGCCCGAAACTGCTGCAGTCAGGAAGCGGGACCTACCCGGGGGGGGGGGGGGGGGGGGGCTGCTTTCGGAGGGCACGAGAACTGAGGGGGCGGGTGGTAGGCCCTGGAAAACTACAGAGACCCCATCAGACCACCGACATCACTCCAACACTCCAGACTGGGCAAGCACGGTGGCGAACGTCCTCGACGCCTGGATCCGAGGGCTCAGTCTGAGGCCCCCGACCTCTCCTGCTTCGCGTTCTGACCAGGCCGCGGCGTAGGGGGCAGTCCAGGGTGACGAAGCAGGGCGAACACGCCTCAATCCTCAGTCGTCCTCCCCACCGCGTCTCCTCGTCCCTCCCCCCGCGCGTGGGAGCGCGCGCGGGCGAGGGAGTGGGACGAGGAAGCGGATGAGGGAGGAGAAGAGGGAGGAAAAGGACGAGGATGAGGAGAAAGGAGGAGGCAGACGTGGAGGAGGAACTGGAGTTCCCAGAGATCTCGCCTCAGAGCCGTCGCCTGGCGGGGGCTGCGCGGCCCGTGGATCACCGCCGCCCTCTGGCCCGCGGGCCGACGCACGGCCAGGTCGATCCGCTGAGGCCGCACCCCGCGCTCTCCCCGTCGCCCTCTGGCTCGCCCTCGGCCAGCGTCTCCGCGCTCGCGTCCGCGTCGCGCGGCTGTCTCCCCCATTCGCCAGCGCCGCCTCTCCGAGCCGCTCCAGCCGCGTCGCGCGGCTGTCTCCCCCCTACTCCAGCGCCGCCTCCCCGAGCCGCTCCAGCCTTGAGCTGGGCCCCCTCCCGTCGAGGGCGCAGCTCGCCAGCGATGCCCAGCTCCTCTCCTGCGCCAGGGAGGAGGAGGAGGAGGAGGAGGAGGAGGAGGAGGAGGAGGAGGAGGAGGAGGAGGAGGATGAGGAGAGGGAGAGGATGGAGGAGAGAGGATGGAGGAGGAGAGGATGGAGCAGGAGATGATGGAGGAGCAGGAGCAGGAGCAGGAGGAGGAGGAGCGGAGGAGGAGGAGGGAGGAGGAGGGGAGGAGGAGGAGGAGGAGGAGGCGGAGGGGGAGGGGGAGGGGGAGGAGGGAGGAGGAGGAGGAGGAGGAGGAGGAGGAGAGGAGGAGGAGGAGGAGGAGGGAGGAGGAGGAGGAGGAAGAGGAGGAGGGAAGGAAGGGGAGGAGGGAGGAGTAAGGAGGTGCTCACATTCTCGCCGAGCGCCAGGGGCAGGAGGTCGCGGCTTCGGGCGGAGAGGCCCGCAGCAGCCTGCTCGGGGCTCGGCGCCGTCGAGGGCAGTCGCCCTGGCCTCCGCCGCGCTCCGCTCCAGGGCCGCTGCCTGCCGGCGCTGCCCTGTGGCGGCCGAGCGTTCGGCCTGCGCTGCCTCGGCCGGCCGCTCGGCCGCGGCCTCGCGCCCGAGCTGCTCCGCGGCCCGCCGCTCGGCGGCCTCGCGGCGCGCAGCCTCCGCCCGCCGCCCGTCGCAGCTGGTCGAGGTGGGCCCCCGCCGTCTGGGGTGGCGCCGCCCCGTCGGCCTCCGTGGCCTTGCGCTCGGCTCTCGCCCTCCGCGGTCCGCAGCGCCTCGGCCACGGCGGCGCCCAGGCGGGTCGGCGCCGAGCCGCGGTGGCTCGCGAGCGCCGCGGAGGCCGCCAGCAGCCGCTCCGCAGCTCGCCCCCTCGGCGCGGAGCTGCTGGGCGCGGCGCGCGGCGGTGGGCCGGTGCAGCCTGGCGGCGCGGACTCGAGAGAAAGGTTTGCGCGGGCTCGAGAGATCCTGTGCAGGCCAGGAAAGAATGTGCGGATGTGCGGGAAGCTTTCCGACACCGTGCCTGGCGCGTCTTCTCGGGGCCAGCCACCAGAGGGGTCCAGCACCTGGGCAGGAGCCACCGGCCTGTCCAGACCGAAACCATGGGCCACCGACACGCCCACGTCGTATGCGCTCCATGCGACAGGGCGAGGTCGCTCAGCCAGGCGGGGGACTTGGCGGAAGGATCAAACAAGGAAGCCCCAGCGGCAGGGAGCCCATGCCTCATGCCGCGGAAAACTCACGGCCGCCGCGGGTGCCCCTGGAGGGGCTGCTCCCTGCGGTCCCGCAGCTTCTCCTCCAGCCCTTGGGAGTCCGCCTGAAACTCCTGCAGTTCGTGCTCGCTCCAGCGCAACTCGGCGCGAAGGTCCTTCTGCAGGGAGGTGGGAGGAGCGCGGGAGGAGGGGCGCGATATAACATACAACGTAGGGAGGAGAGAGGAGGGGAACGATCGACCAAAGAACAAACGACACCACCCCACCTACGGCCCTCCATGTTGCGCTACGGCCCATCGGACGTCGCAGCGCATACCACGCAACATCCCACGCCTGCTTCCCTGGCCTACGCCAAGCCCCGTGGGGCCGTAGGTGGGGTGGTGCCGTTTTTTCCGGGTCCAAGAGAGGAGCCCGAGCCAGGGGGAAATCGGCAACGGGGGGCATCTTGGATCTCGCCTTAAGTCGGGCCTGTCCCTCTACAG